ACTCTGGTGCACACGGACGCAATCCCTGACGCTGGCATACAGCTGTGTCACGCCCTGGTATGCTGTGACGCTGACGCAATCCCTGACGCTGACACAGTCTCTGGCTCTGGTGCACACGGACGCAACCCCTGACGCTGACATACAGCTGTACCACAACCTGGTATGCTGTGACGCTGACGCAATCCCTGACGCTGACACAGTCCCTGACTCTGGTGCACACGGACGCAATCCCTGACGCTGACATACAGCTGTACCACAATCTGGTATGATGTGACGCTGACACAATCCCTGACATTGATATACAGTTAAGCCACGCCATGTTAAATGACGTTAACTCAATCCCTAACACCGACTCACAACTGTCGCCCACAGAGGCATACACTGTGACGTTGACGCAATCGCTGACGCTGACGCAATCCTCGACGCTGACGTATTCCTTGACGCTGACGCGAAGTGTTACTGGTAATCGCGAGCGATATGATAAAGCGTGTTGCAGCAAGATTTACCGTATCAGTAATTCTCGCGCTTCAAGCGATGATAACGGACGCACACGCGCGCCGGTGAAGCGTGAGAGAACGTGACCGGTGCATGTGTGACGCGTGTTCTCTCTCACAGCCTCTCGTTTTTCTCAGGGCAGATTCGTCGGTAGAGGAGGACACCAGCCCCATTCACGACGGTCTCACCGACTTCGGAAAGGTATGCGAACCTATACGCGCAAGCACAGACAGCCGACAGTGCAAACTCAATCGTTATTAAATTAAATAACTATTTAAATCAATTACACCAGCATTGCTCTTGATTCCTCTCGGCTGATTCCGTTTAACGGAAGATTCGACTATATATATATTATACTTCGGGATAGGATCATCAAAAACTTCAGTGCTTTGGCGTCGTGTGGCGCCATCTATAAAACGGTCGGTGAATAAAATCGAGCAGCAATAAAAAACCAAGGAAAACGAGCATTTTCTATACACGACTTATATACACGTCAATGACGCACGAATAGGACCCCGGATGAACGTGTAAAGACCCCGGATGAGCGTGTGACGACCCCAAAATAGCTGTGAAGACCCCGGATGAGCGTGTGGAGACCCCAAAATAGCTGTGAAGACCTTGCGTAAACGCGTCAAGACTCCGGATAAATAACATTTTACATTTACATATAAAGCGCGGGACACATTATTTATTATTTATTTATTATCGGCATTATTTATTAAGCGGGGGACACACCATGCGCACGTTATTCACGCACCGAAATTCGCATGGTGGGTCCGCTCGAGCGCGGGCGAATTTCATTTCATCCGCACCGAAATTCGCAGCGATCAAACATGTTTGATATTTTCGCTGCGGACGAAAGGCATACATTTCTACAGTTTACTGTAAAAGAAATACATATTACAGACTATACGATTTGTCAATCTATACACGACTTATATACACGTCAATGACGCACGGATAGGACCCCGGATGAACGTGTAAAGACCCCGGATGAGCGTGTGGAGACCCCAAAACAGGGGCGTTTACAGGATTTGTACCAGGGGGGGGGGTCTAACCGTAACCCAAACTTGCGCGCATGCTAAGGGGGGTCTGGGGGGCCCTCCGCCAGAACATTTTTGAAATTAGACCCCCTTAGATGCGTTTTCTGCGCGAGCAGGGGGGGTCCGGACCCCTGGATCCCCCCCCCCTGTACACGCCCCTGCCAAAATAGCTGTGAAGACCTTGCGTAAACGCGTCAAGACTCCGGATAAATAACATTTTACATTTACATATAAAGCGGGGGACACACCATGCGCACGTTATTCGCCTGGTGGGTCCGCTCAAGCGCGGGCGAATTTCATCCGCACCGAAATTCGCAGCGATCAAACATGTTTGATATTTTCGCTGCGGACGTGCGAATAAATTCGCATGGTGTGTCGCAGGCTTAAAGTAAAATACATTTTACTCTAGATGGTGGTGATTGAGATGAACCGACTTGGCATGCTGGTTGATCTGTCGCACGTGTCGTTTGCTACGATGAGACAAGCCCTCGCTACGTCATCAGCTCCCGTCATCTTCAGCCACTCGTCTGCTTACGCTCTCTGCGACACCACGCGTAACGTACCAGACGACATCCTAACTCAAATGGTAGGTAACTCTATACTGCAGATATACTGCAGTAATTGCAGGAATAAATAAATTATTGAATAAATATATAAATAAATAATAAATAAATAAATAAAATAAATAAATAAATTAATCAATCAATCATTTAATCAAGCAAGCAAACAATCAATCAATCAATTACTCAGTTATCAATAAATAAATGAATCGATCGGTCAAACAATAATTTAATCTAACCAGATAAAAAAAAATCTAATAAGTCAACCTAACCAATGAACTAATAAATCAATTATTCAATCAATCAATCAATCGATCAATATTAACTTTGGGAGCCTCATTTCAGACGGAAAATGACGGCATAGTCATGGTGAATTTCAACCCTGGCTTTGTCAGCTGTCAGAGAGTGGCAAGTCTCAGCCAAGTAGCAGGTAGGCCCTACATTACTGCGCAGGTCTAAGTCCAGGGTGGCCTCTGCGACCTCTAAAACCCGACACGGCGAAACTTACCGCCACGGTACCGCAAACGAAAGGAACATTAAAATGATTGACACCTTACTGGATGCGTGTATATGATGTAAACGAGCCTATTAGAGACCAATTTCCTAGCCGAGATATAATTGGTTTGAGATTTGATTAGAGAAAAATGCGTGCGTACAATCTCACATCTATCAGAACTCTACATGCACATATCTATAGATGTAATTATGAAAGAGAGTACATATAATCAGGAGTAGATAATAGGTATCTACTCCTGATATAATGTAATATAAATGTCAGAGGCATGTCCATTCTGAACTATGCTATCTGATATCATTGTGATATTTGGCAACGAGATTACGCAAAGTCATGGTTGCGAAAGTCATGTTTATAAAATTTGTGTGATTAGCAGATTGTAAACAGGAGTTGATTTTTTTGCTCGGTAGATCATATCGAATACATCGTCAAAGTCGCCGGCGCCGATCACGTGGGAATAGGAGCAGACTACGACGGTATAGTGGAGTGAGTGTGATACTCTCTCTCTCTCTCTCTCTCTCTCTCTCTCTCTCTCTCTCTCTCTCTCTCTCTCTCTCTCTCTCTCTCTCTCTCTCTCTCT